TTATGTTGACTCGTCTTTTAACCTAATCGTCGTGTCTTGTCGTTGAGAAAGATACTTGTTGACCCAGGTAAACATAGTTTTAAACATATTGTAATGTACTGTTATTAACCTTTATTGGAATAGTTTGGTGGTTCGTCATAATAATAATCTTTCATTTGATAGAAAAGATTTTGCATTGTAAGTGCATACATCGAAGTTTTGTAGTGGAGATGGAAGGTTGTAGTCATTATCCCCCGCGGTGACCAGCGGTATTGGGAGATGAAGAGCCTCCTGTAAAGAAAGTATAATTATTTATATTATATGAATTACTTAACGTATAAATTGAGTTTGTACAATTTGAAGGAATTATTTTTTATTATAGTTACTTATGATTTTAGAGTAATAAGTTGATTTGTAATATCTTTTGCAAAGGGTTTTATATCAGTAATTCACTTCGTTATAGGTATTTATTTTTAATAAATAAATTTGTGAACAATACTTACCCCATACCATTATTTTATAAGTTAAACAATTTGTAAATATATTTATAAAACCGAAATTTTGTAAACACCAAAATATTGAAAGCTCCTATCAAAATTTGAAAGAAACGTTTAAAAATAATAAGTGTCAACTGTCATAGCACCAGAGAACTTTCCGTTTAAAATATATCAAAAGAATAGTTTTATATAAAATAAATATATATAATAAGACATAATAGCTTATTGTGATTGATGAATTATTTAAAATAATTTTATATTTTATTTATTTTCATAGAAATATCTGTCGAAGTAAGTTTGACAGTTAAATTTCTAAACGTACTCAGAAACCACAAACAAAATTATCGTTCTTTCATTCGGTCTTGCGATGCTAATACGTTTCAGCTTATAGGCGGTCATGGTACGAAAAAATGCTATCGACTTTAGGTACCTAAACTCCGCTGCATCTCAACTGGATTGTTTTAAGAAAGTTCATGGTAGGCCCCCAGGTCCAAATTCAAAATTGCCGGGAAATATGGAAACGACAGAACTTAAAAGGCATGCCTCGTAAGGTTTATTACACAGCTTTTCTTTAATACATTTCTTAAATTTATTAAAGAGCAGAGATAAAAGAGCCTCTGGGATTTTATTAAAGAAGAGTATCCCTTTTCCCAAAAAAGAATTACTAACTTTAGATAGTCTAGTACGGGGAAATTGCAGCCTACGTTTGTTCCGAATATTATTGTGCGTATGTTCTATTCTAGTAAATTTATCATTATTTTTGTATACACACATAATATTTTCATAAATATATTGCGAGGGAAAGGTAGGTAGGTATATTATTTTCCTTGAATTTATCTCTGAGAGATTCCGTACATTTTAAATTATAGATATTACGAAAAGCCTTAGAATTAGCATTGTCTGCTAACTTTTGTCGTATATTTTCATGTAAAATACTCTGTACTCAAAAAGTTTAATCAATGTCTTGCAATCATATATGAAGTTTTCATAAAGAACCTACAGTTATCGACCTCTCAATGGTACTTCAACTAAATCAATATGTTTGGGTTTGTCCCGGGAAACCCGATATTTTGTCTGCAATATTAAATCGTGGGAGAAACATTCTGTTTTATTGCTGGTGTATTTGTCTACTTAATGGATTTGAGAAATAACACGCTCATATGTGTGAAGTAAATAATTCTTGAAAAATATCTTTTTAGGGAAATAATTTTTTTTTTTATTTAAAGTCAAAATCAAAATCGTTTATTCATATAGGTGACACTATGTACACTTATGAACGTCAAAAAAGAAATACATATTAATGTGCTAATTTTACATTTACTAAATTGATTTCTTCTAACTAGAATTTAATTAGTAATTAGTACCTAGTTTTAGATTAGCGTTCAGCATACAAATCAAAAAGCTGTTTATTTTAATATATAAAACAAAGTCGGTTTTATTCGAATTATTATAACTCGAGAACTGCTGCGGATGGACCGATTTTCATAAGTTTTGATTTGGAACATAGTTAGAACATATTATATGTAGTTGCAACTCCTTGATTTGAGAACTGGCAGTAAATGTAAAATTAGAAGCATTTAATATGTATTTAATATTCTTTAGTGACGTTCATAAGTGTACATTGTGTTACCTAAAACAAAAAATGATTTAGAATTTGAATTTGAGTTGTATTTAATCCTAAAATTATTGGAAAATTGACGAAAAAATTAATTAAAAGAAATTCCAATCAAACGTTTAATGTTCATCCCTCTTGCAACGGGAAACCCTGCCCTCAAATAAAAGAACGTATTTCCCGGAATGGAGGACATGACGACATTCGTGAGGGTCCTTCAAGAAAAAAGCGTACCAATTCTTAACAGGCCGGCAACGCACTCGCGAGCCCTCTGGCATATCCAAACGGGTACAGATTCCCTGCTCCACAAGTAGTGAACTTAATATTTATTTTGTTTTATTAAAACAATCAGTTCGCCGAATCAGCTATCATAAACAAATTGTTTAAGGTGTGAGTATACAAACATTGTATCAGTGAGATTTTGACAGAATAATTGTATCGATTTCCAGCTAAGTAGGTTACGCGAGTAAATTATAAAAATATTTTTTTTTTATAACATTAAAACGTTCTCGGAAAATATTCACTATTCTTTTATATGAGACCTCGTATGTAACAAACCAGAAATCAAAGTGCACAGTGCAGCGGTTTTAAATAATCTAATCCAGCGAATGATTTGTGAGGGCGCGCGAAAAATATTTTATTCCACAACGTAGCAGATCAATTCTCTGCACCGGACGCGGGGCTGACTAGAAACTAAAGTATGGGCCATGTGAAAAGCGAAGTCCTTTAGCAGTAAAAACCATTTAAATGGTCTAAAACATAACATATTTGTTTTTATAACGTTTATTTTAGCACAAAAGACGGGTATGAACACCGCAGTTTGGACTTTGGACTGTCTACGAGCATCTTTTTCATATAAGAATAGGTTTGACATTTATGCAGTTCATTGTTTTTTGTTTTTGGGAACTTCTTTAGTCACCAGTACCAATACTATGACGTCATCGTATACGCTCTGCAAGAACTCTTGTCAGAGGACGGTAAGTGGCAACGAAGCAATGACGAATGGAGACCGGGGTACCCTATTGCTACAAAGACAATAGAGGCTCTGACAAAAAGTGTGTGTCAGTATCAGGTCAATCTGACCAAGGCGTTTTTGAAGTTATACTTCTTTAGGCGCGTTATGAAAAATTGATGAGAGTGAAATTTTACGATGCGCGCGCTTCGTGACACAAAATTATCAGAATGACCATAATGACCTTTGTAGTACAAATAAAGGAGTTTTTATTATTTTTTCAAAGAAATTTAGCAATGCTTTTTCACAAAGACCTATTGTTACATAGTTAAAAGGTTATGAAACATACCTAGTTATTAAATTGAATGAATAATATAATAAAATAATAAATAATTAATATTAATTAATAATTGAATAATATACTAAATATTAAATATTGTTAAATTATTAACGCTAATTATTTATTATTAATTATTTAGTATTTAAACAAAATAAAGAAAGCCAAAGAAGTATAACTTCTTTCGTGCGTACATAAGTACACGCACCATTTTTTTTATATTTATTATTGAGGTGGTTAGACTTTTGTTTTACTTCAAAAGTAATTTTTAATATACGTTTACCGCTGTATATATTTAGTACTATAGTTTTATACGATGCCGTTATGTAGATTTTATTAAACCGACATTGTTACTTGTACTGAAAATAATTATAATGCAGCCCTCATTTAAATATTAATAATGTAATATGTTTTAACAAAAACATTTTAATTAAATATAATTAAAATTTTATGTTGTTTGCCTTTAAACGTTGAATACAATTTACTTAATTGTGAAATCGTATTTAATAATATAGCAATGCCATTTTACAGTGAAATCGAATGCTCACATTAGGCTGGATAAGCAAACTTATATAAACTTAAAAGATGTGTATTAGCTTCCGAAACGAGAAGTTTCCAACGCTCAAATCCCGTGGCACTTCAAAATACTTTCAAATTCTTAATTTTTTTTCGATAAATTAAAAAACAAATATTAATTTTCAACAAAATTTAACAAACCCAACTTGACCTCATTGGTGCTCTGTGTGCTCCGGCTTTAAGTACAAGCCGCCTGAACCCCTTTTCTCCTGCGAAGCCCCGATACTACATACCAATTAAATAATGTAGAAAATGTCCGGAGGTTCTAATGTGTTGCGATAAGAAGACATTAAAGTTTTCCACAAGGTATTTATATTGTGAATTTACTTTTCACGGAGTTAAATAAAACATTAGATAAATCAGTTGATTATTCTAAGTGAACATAATTTTTAATATTCGAGAAAGTTACGATTTTCCTATGATACGTAATTATCTATAGTAACAAATATTTTTTAAATAAACCTTTGAGAAGCTTTACATCACTTTTGTATAAGGATATTTTTTTTAAATAAGATATCTTTTACCTTATACCACAGGTACCATTTGTAAAGGTATCGCCTCAAACATTTTTCACGTGATATTTCGCCCCTAATAGACTAGTATTATTCGAGTGTATGAAAACTACATTCTAAAGATTTGTGTAAAATCCGGTCTGGACGTTTCAATTTAAAAGAAATAAATCACAAATTGTGAATCCATATAACTCGTTTTATAATAACTGGCTATTAAATTATGTTTTATTTTGGCAAGCTTTGTAATCGTTACCTCTTAGTAACATATTGCTAATATATTTTAGCCAAGGGCTGATTATAAATTGAAGATAACTCCTTTCGATTGAGCAAGATCTTTTTCAGAATATTTTACTCTATGTACAAACAAACGATAAACTGAAAACAAATGGAAAAGAAAAATTTACAGATAATATAGCAAAACTATATTGTTTAATTACAACTCAAAATTAATTAATTAATTATTCGTACACATTTGATAGCAATGGTATTGATAAACATAATAATTAATTTTGGTTGTGTAATGTGTATTTGCAAATTACGAGTTACATTTTAATACTTTGTAATCCTCCTTAATAAAATCGCTCGCTTTTTCGGCCATCATTATGATTGGTGCGTTTGTGTTACCTCGAACGATGTTCCTCATAGCAGATCCATCAACGACTCTTAATTTCTTTACCTTGTACACTTTAAATCTTGGATCTACAACAGCATCTTTATCCCACCATGGTCCCATTTTACAAGTTCCAACTGGATGATATATAGTTGTTGTGTAATGTGTGTACAGACACGCAAAATAGTCATAGGTACCCCACTGATATTGCTTGCAACCATCTATGGGAGTTTTAATGAACGCTGCTCCTGCTTTTTTAAATTCTTCTGTCTCTCCTAAAGTTATAACAAACCTTGTGGCATCTACTAATGCGTCCAAGTCTTTTTTGACTGTAAATATTCCAGAATGTATCTCCGGTGCGCCAAAAATAGGATCGGTTTTGTTAAGCAAAATTACACCTCGACTGAATGGTGTTAATAATATAGGTCGCACTGCAACGGCGTTATAAAATGATAAAGGAAATATATATGATGATATGTAGCTCGATGGATCAGTAAAGAAGTCCGGTATTCGTCTCCCATCTAAGTGTATCTGTATATTTGGAGGTGCCGTTTTCGACCCGTTTGAATTTAAAAATGCAACTAAGTTTGTAATAACAATAGATGAAAGAGGACCTCGTTTCTTCTCAGGCTGTTTATAAAAGTCGTTTACATAGTTTAATAGTTCTTCGTTGCTGACTAAAGTAGAAGTTTTGTTTGATAACGAAAATATCAAACCATCTGTAGTAACGTGGTCTTGAAGATTATGCCCAACCATTAAATTTGCTATAACAGGAATTTTAAGACTTTCTAATTCGTCTTTTGGACCAATACCGGAACATTTAAGTATTTTCGGCGAATTAATTGATCCAGCGCTAATAATTACCTCACCTTTTGAATAAACCTTATAATATGATCCATTTTTAAAATATTCTACACCATTTATTTCTTTTGTATTCGAATTTATCAGTACTTTTGTTGCAAACGCATTGGTAATGATATGCAAGTTAGATCGATCTTTTCGTATAGTTCTTATGAATGCAGCATTAGTAGATTGTCTCTTACCATCTTTGGCTGTTGCAAGATTTATGTTTACTCCAACCTTAGTTTCTAGTCCTAAGTCAGCGAATGGAATTCCTCTCTCCTGAAATGCTTTTACGACTAATTCTGATGGTTCATCATTGTATGAAAATCTTTCTACGTTAAGTGGACCACCTACTCCATGTGAACCCGTTGCGTATTGGTCGCGAAGGTTAATAGATTTTTCAAAATACGGCAACACCTGCAGATTATTAAAATTTTAATTGTATACAGTGACAGGCCCAAATTGCATTCAAATCATTAGTAAAAATATATCGATACCTCGTGATAACTCCAACCCTCGTTCCCTTCTTTTGACCATCCATCATAGTCTGCTGGACTGCCTCTCATATACGTCATATAATTTATAGAACTCGATCCTCCCATAGTTTTGCCCCTATGATTTAAAGTATTATTGTTACACCGCTGCTTTAGATAGTTATTATTGATATGAAAGGTAATTTTGTGTGATAGTGAAATTTCCAGGTGGCATCGAGCTCCGATAACGTATCTTGTTATTTTTTATTGTTAATGTAATATATATATATATATAATATAATAATGAACAATAATATATATATATAATAATGAACATTAAACAACGGAAAGTTGCGTACTTTGGCCACGTGTTGCGCCATGACCGCTACCACCTCCTTCAATTAATTATAATGGGCAAAAAAATCCAGGTTAAACGGCGTGTTTGTAGAAGGAAGAAATCATGGCATCGCAACATTAGGGAGTGGACGGGTATTGCAACTGCGGAAGAGTTGTTGCATCTGGCACAGGACAAGACACGCTTCAAGATACTGAAGGCCAACCTACAGTAATGGCCTCTCCATTACTAAAAGAAGAAGATGTAATAAATATATATACCTGGAACATAGGCAAACTTGTCCCTTTTGCGATAGACAGGTTGTATTATCGGGTTGAGTAAAGTATGCCCAGTCTACCTTTGTCGTAGCAAGTGCTAAAGCAGCACTTGGTACACTTGTGATGTCTGGCTCTTCATTTCCAGCCTCCAGCAACAAAATCTGCCAAATTAATGTCAGTTTATATTTCATTACTATCCTAAAAATAACTAATCTATACCTATAATTTTTATCCTGATGTACATAATAGTTTAATCATCAATCATCAAGACAAGGCACTGAGTTTATTACAGATTTTTCCGCACTGAATGTAAAGTAATAAAAAGATAGTACAGTAAATAGAATACGTATTAAGTACTACCTAAGTCTTACCTTCCAATGTTTTATTTCCGATAATCTGTGCGCAAGCACACATCCAGCCGAGCCGGCGCCCACAATGATATAATCATATTCATTTCTTTTAATCCGTTGTTCAAAAACATTTATAGTTGGATAGATGAATGGATTATCACCTGTTGATTTTGTATCATCAACAGACCTTCCAAATAATTGTGCCAACAGCGTTAGATATGTTATACCAATAGATGTACACTGTGTTAAATTCCCATGCGTGGACGCACACACTTCACTTATATCGGGTGGAGTCCACATTTTTTAATTAAAAAAATATATTTTTATGCGTACTAAATAAAAGCGAGTTACTTTAAAACAACTGTCGCTGATAGTGTAATTTGCATATTAATGATATGTTCTAGAAGTTTTTGCTTTTACTAAAACTATTATTTTATTTCTTACTTTATACTTTAGTAATTGCCTCCGAATTTCTCTGCATATTTAAAAATACTGGCTTGTCTATGTACTCTGTTTAATTAGCACTCAAACCAAAAAGTATTTTTTTTGCGTTTATGTCAGCTCCATATAAAACCAAACCGTACAGTAGAATAACAGAAAAAAATCAGCATGGTTCTGACTTCCTGACAGAGCAGCACCAACGTCGATAATACCTTGTACCTTGTCTCAACTTCAATGTTGAGTTTTTTTGTTCTGCGCAATGCCATGATTGTGTTCAGTTCTTCGAAAATAAATCACAAAAATGGTAGTAAATTTAAATTTAGACCGCCCGCCCTCTTATTTAAATATTGAATCTCATAAGAGTACATAGTAAGCAATATGATTTTTGATATTTATTGACAGGTCACGGTAAACCGTATTCCTAAAGGAATATTAACAAAAATACGTTTTTAAAATATTTTTATCACTCTATGATAATAATAGGAGGAAAGTTCACAAAATATTACTTTATGTGCTAGCATAGGTCACTAGTAATAAAAAAATATATGTATGTTTATAACGAGCAAATGTTATTATAATATATTTTTATCGCAAACACTTTGAATCATCCAAAAATTTCAGCTAAATAAATATTTAAATACAAATTGTACTGTAAGTGAAATTTGAATAATTATAATGTTTGCGAAATACATATAATAATTATCCATCGTTCAGATAATTTTAATGTAACTGAAAACGCTATTTTCAATTATTTAGTTTCTAGGTCTCTTATCAAACTCAAACTCAAAATATCTTTATTCGTGTAGGTAAACAAGTACGAATTGTCAAGTTAAATTAATTGTAAATTTACATTTACTACCAGTTCGCAAGTCAAGAGCGTAGAGCGGGTAAGAAGAACTGGCAAGAAACTTTCCGCCACTCTTTTAAAACTAAAAAATTTTTTTGGCAAAGATTATTAATAAATTATATGGTCTTCTTTTATCATAGCACTTGCTTTTTCGGCCATCATTATAGTTGGTGCGTTCAAATTACCTCGAACGATGGTTCTCATAGTGGAAGCGTCAACAACTCGCAATCTTCGTATTCCATACACTTTAAATCTTGGATCAACCACGGCATCTTCTTCCCATTCTGGTCCCATTTTACATGTTCCAGCAGGATGGTAAATACTTGCTGTGTAATTCATTAATAAACACTTAAAGTAATCATCAGTTCCCCACTCATTATGATCGCATCCTTTCACAGGCGTTTTATCAAAGCTCGCCCCGCTCTTTTTAAAAGATTCTGTCTCATCTAAACTTACAACAAACCTCATAGCATCTACTAAATCATTAACATCTTCCTGGACTTGAAAGTAACCAGTATATATTAAAGGAGGTCCAAATATAGGGTCAGTTTTGTTAAGCATAACGCTACCTCTACTTCTTGGTTTTAGTAATAAAGGTCTTGCACCAACACTATCATAAAATGATGATGGAAGAATATTAGTTGCCATATAATTTGTTGGATCAGACATATATTCAGCAGCACGTCTACCATCAAATTGCAATTGTATGTTTGGAGGGGCGTCTTTAGATCCTTTCGTATTTATAAAAGCTATGCTATTTACAGTTGTCGTTGAAGCTAGGGGTCCAGACTTTTTCTCGGGTTGATTGCGATATTTTATGACCTCATTAAGAAGTTCACTATCGCTTACTACAGTTGAATATGGATTAGAAAACTTTAATATCAAAGCATCTGTTGTAACATGGTCTTGAAGGTTGTAACCAACCTTCAAATCTGCGATTATAGGAATACCTAGACTTTCCAACTCATCTCGTGGACCTACACCGGAACATTTAAGTAATTTTGGCGAATTGATTGCTCCTGTACTAACGATCACTTCTTTATTTGCAAAGACATTATAGTACTTTCCACCCTTAAAATATTGTATGGCGTAAGCTTCTTTATTCGCCGGATGAATTAATATTTTTGTAGCAAAAGCATTTGTGATTATGTGTAAATTTGGTCTTTCATCTCGTATTGGCTTGATAAAAGCCTGATTCGTTGATTGTCTTTTTCCATCTTTAGACGTTGACAAGTTAATATTGACTCCAACTTTACTTTCAAGACCTAAGTCGACTATCGGCAAACCCTTATCAAGAAATCCCTTGACTAATATTTTTGAAGGTTCATCAAGGTAGGAGAATCGTTCAACATTCAATTCACCCCCAATTCCATGATAATTATTATTATCTAGTGACTCAGAATCGCGTAAGTTTATTGATTTATCAAAATACGGCAAGACCTAAAAATAAATTCATGCTTGTTGAACTTTTTGTTGGTTATAAATTTAACGACAAGCAATATTCTAGTAGTTCTGTTAAATAAAAATTATATCGGATTACAATTGTAACAAACAATTGTACTGTAAATTACCTCCTCATAACTCCACCCATGGTTACCTTCGGCAGCCCACTCATCATAGTCATGGCTACTACCTCTCATATACACCATGTAATTGATTGCGCTTGATCCTCCCATCGTTTTACCCCTGTAAGGAAACATAATATAACAATAATGATAGATGTATTCTTGTAATCAATTTCAATCACTGGGTTACTTAGAATGTACCTTCGTAGTAAAGTATCTGTGAAATTAGCAAATCACTTACAAGAAAACACCAAAAAATTGGAGTTCTGATAGCACACATAATACGAGGCTTAGAAAGAGTTCTGGCTATTTAAGTAAAGATTATTATGTTTTTTTAAGCGTATAATGCTTTGCCAGCTTTTTGTTCAGGTTGTCCAAATTTATCTATAGTGGGATTATAAATATTACTTTAGTGTGTTAACTATTATTTTTTTTTCGTCTTTTCGTTTTACAACTAGCAAAGTTGACAAATCCACAATAACTTATTTTTTCCTTCAAAATTTTCTAATTAACAATGTCAATACAATTAGAAATTTTATAGTAAAAATGCTATAGATTTACCTAATCCAAGGGCAAACTTGTCCTTTTTCCAATAAACAGGTCCTTCCATCTGGCTGACTTTTATATTTCCAATCTATATTTGACTCTGATAATGATGTTGCAACACCAGGTATACTAGTGACTTCAGGTTCCTCTTCACCAGCTTCTAGAAGTAGTATCTGTAAGAATAAATTAATAATTATAAAAAAAACAATATATGCAATAAGGAGGGGAAAATATTGATATATCAAAAACATTAAAATTGGTATCATCTACAGTGTCTGTAAATAAAATTGTTAGTGCTATTTGATGAAACTTGTGTTGTGGTCATAGAACAATTACCAAATTAATAGAACAATGAAAATATGTATAACCTAACCTAAGTACTATATTCTTTACCTACATAGTAATAACAATAATAAAAATTTATATTTTGAAATATAAAATTAAAAGTTTGGTCTTTGTGGAGTGTACAGCGAAATTAGAGAATTACAACTAAATAAATTTTAATTCTAAAAAGCTCTCGTTAAACGTAAATTAATCAATAAAGCTTTTTATAAATTTGATTGATTGATTGATTGATTTGCTCTATATCAAACAATTTGTATGACTCAAAACTTAGCGATTAAAAAGAGTGGCGAAAAGTTTCTTGCCAGTTCTTCTTGCCCGCTTGACGCCCTTGACTTGCGAACTGGTAGTAAATGTATTTTCTAGAATTAATTTAACTTCTTTTTTGAAGTTCATAACTATACTTGTTTACCTATGTTAATATAGTTATTTTGAGTTTGTACCTTTAATGCTGCCAGCATTTTCTTGCTGTTTTGCTATACTTATTCGGCTCTGGGGTTACCGGTACTATCCTACCAGGCGCCAACTTAAATCTTTTTTTGTGCCTGTGCAACCTAACCTAACCTAACCCCCTGGCTCAAGAGTCTACTCCAAAGGGAAGAGAATCAAAGTTGTACTTAGTTTTACACCTTTTATTACGTAAATTCTAAGCTTCATAGTATTGCAGGTGTAATGTCTGCTGGTTTTGTAAAGTCTATGTCTATATTATTATATATTTTGTACAAGTTCTTTAAAATATGTTAAATAAATTGATAAAAAGCATTGTTTCTTAACTATATAAAACATCTATCGATCACTCTATGAGGTTTTATTACCTAGCACCAAAAAACGTTCTAAAATATCAAATAATTCATTAATGACATTAAATATTTTTATCCATTGAAAATTGTTTCACACTTACACTCCAATGTTTTATTTCCGATAATCTGTGCGCAAGCACACATCCAGCTGAGCCGGCGCCCACAATGATGTAATCATATTCATTTCTTTTAATATTTTTACTTTCTTCATAAGTCCGTTGTTCAAAACCATTATTTATAGTTGGATAGATGAATGGATTATCATCTGTTGATTTTGTATCATCAACAGACCTTCCAAATAATTGTGCCAACAGTGTTAGATATGTTATACCAATAGATGTACACTGTGTTAAATTCACATGCGTGGACGCACACACTTCACTTATATCCGGTGGAGTCCACATTTTTTAATTAAAAAAATATATTTTTATGCGAACTAAATAAAAGCGAGTTACTTTAAAACAACTGTCGCTGATAGTGTCATTTGCATATTAATGATATGTTCTAGAAGTTTTTGCTTTTACTAAAACTATTAATTTTATTTCTTACTTTATACTTTAGTAATTGCCTCCGAATTTCTCTGCATATTTAAAAATACTGGCTTGTCTATGTACTCTGTTTAATTAGCACTCAAATAAAATTACATAGTAATAATAATAAAAAATAATATTTACGAATAGACAATTTTTTAGTTTGGTCCCAGTGGCATTGTACCTTGCTGGCAGCATTTCCTCACTGTTTTGCGATACTTGTGTAGTGGTCATAGAATAATTACCAAATTAATAGAACAATGAAAATATGTATAGCCTAACCTACGTACTATATTCTTTACCTACACCTACATAGTAATAATAATAATAAAAATTAATATTTACGAATAGACAATTTTTTAGTTTGGTCCCAGTGGCATTGTACCTTATTGCCAGCATTTCCTCACTATTTTGCGATACTCATTTGTTGAGCAAGGTAAGCACCAGCTCTGGGTGTTACTGGTACTATCTACCAGGCGCCAACTTAACTCTTTAATTAGCACCTGTGCACTTGAACCCTACGGCCCAAGAGTCTCTACTCCAAAGGGAACAGAATCAAAGCTATCCTTAGTATTACACCTATACGTAAATACTAAGCTTCCTAGTATTGCAGTTGTAAATAGACGGAAGTAAGCACTTCTTTCGTATTCCATAAAAAAGATTATAATTCTAATTCGTTTTGTCATGTCTTTGTATACATTAATATATATTTTTTCACAAATTCTATAAACTACTTGAAATGTCAAATAATAAGCATTTTTCTTAACTTCATAAAACATCTGTCGTTCACACTGTGTGATTTTATTTTTTAGCGCCAAAAACGTAAAATATTCTCAAATAATTCGTTAATGACTTTAATTATTTTTATCTGTGAAATTTGTTTCACACTTACCCTCCACTGTTTTATTTCTGATAATCTATTAGCGAGGACACATCCCGCTGAACCAGCACCAACGATTATAAAATCGTAATGTTGATTTGTTTCGCCCCAAACATGTTCCCTTCTAAAGTTATTGGTGCTTATTTTTCCTAAAACGGGATTGATTACGTATTCATAATTTATTTGTTCATCTACGGGCTTTCCGAATAATTGCTGAAGTAACGACAAATATATGAATCCTATTGAACATGCTGTTAAGTTCGCTTGTGTGGACGCACAGACTGGTCCTATATCTGACGGCACCCACGTCATTTCCTGTAATGGTGAAAATTCAATTTTTATTAAAAATTAAATTAAATTCGTAAGTAGGTAGTTACTAAGATGAAACCCCCTTGGAAAAAAATTGTTTTTAATTTGTTTACATTTAAAAAAGTGCGTATTTCGAGCCCATTTATATAAACACTAGCTGACCCGGCAAACGTTGTTTTGCCATGTATATTATTTCTACGAAACATTTTTTTAGTTCAATAAAAATAACTATCTACTATAATAAAAACAGCGGTTGACCGTACACGGGTGAAAATTAAGGGTTGTATGTTTTTTGTATGCTGTATCATAAAAAAAAATAAAAACAATAATTTTGTCTAAAAAATAAAAATTTAGGGATGGACCTAACCTAACCCTTAACATTTAGGGGGATGAAAAATAAATGTTGTCTGATTTGCAGACCTAATCGATATGCACAAAAAATTTCACGAAAATCGGTCGAGCCATTTCAAACAAATAAATGTCCCACAATATTAAAGAACATAATATGAATATCTACAAATGTCACACACACAATGATAGCATGTGTCTAACACTTGTATTAGATAAATCAATAATAATACTCGTGTGAGAGCGGTGTCTAATTATTATTATTTTAAGTAATTCACGTTTAGGTTTTTGTGCTTGTAGATGTGTTTTTTGACGTAAAAGTTTAACTCGATAACATTATATTTGATTTGATTAAAATGATTGTATAATCTTATTTATAAACCTAGTTAACTTTAATCATACTAAAACTGTTTGGGCCTTAACTGTGGACTAATGTTTGAGATAATATGATGATGATAAAGCCATGGGAAATAAGGATAAAGTGGTGAGAAATAAGTGATTACCTTACCTTATAGGTAAGAAATTTAGTACTTTTAGAAAATATTGTACAACTTATCAACTACGTTAATTTGTTAACATTTAAATAAGAGGCACGGCACTATTGCATAAAATAAAATAATACTTTACTGTGATTTTCATGTCTTCTTCACTTTAACTAATTTCATTTACTGAATTTGACAAAATAAGCCTCGGCGTAGCTAATACAAAAACATAATTAAATATCTACTATGTTCATGTTCAATATTTAGGTTTTATCTTGACACTAGCTGTTGTGCGCATAACCATATTATTATCCTAAAATTTACATTTGACCTCATTAATCTTAGAATACTAGACATGGTTCCTTTCTCCATTTGTATATTTTTTTGGAGTATGCCAGTATATGGCATTTGTTGATCACTACCGGCAACGCACTCACTAAAAATGGGTATTCATAGGCTGCGATGAAAGCCCTTTCCGGGTGTCCCGTGGGCTAGCCACTCTATACTTTAATAACAATACACCGTCTTACTTTTTCATTTGTTTTTAATTACTATTATTACTATATATAGGATGTATGAGTTTATTATTTGCCCACAAAACATTGTTAGGTGTCCGTTTAATGTATTGATAAGATAAAAACCGACTCGTCCATTGAGATCCTTCAATATTATTATTATAATAAGCTTCAAATATTCTTCCCAGATTTTTTGCGTTATACTCTTACACATTTTTATTATAATATATTAGCTATGTTGTATGCATTGTTTAACATGTATTCAAGATAAATATGTAAATGACTTAACAATACTATCGGAATAGCATAAATGAGACCAATTTTGCATTGCAATTAGATTAGTTTATAAGAAAGGGGGTAATTGTAAAATTATATATATTACAGACAAAATGAATTAATTCAATATTAATGATTACAAATAAAACAGAATTTTTTTTTTTGTTATTTTCATGTCTCCTTCACTGTTACTGATTTCATTGGCACGTTTGACACAGTAAGCCTCGGCGTAGACAGCTAATACAAAAACAAACCTATTCATACTTCAATACTACTATACATATATGAAGACATATAGACAAATAATAATAGCCTAAGCGTAAGAATTTAGTTAAAAACACATTTTGAGCATTTAATGGGTTAATGCTCACCTTTTGGTGGCACATGGTACGCCATGTCTCGGTATTTTCTTTTCCCTATAAATTAGAGAGCGTGACCATGCGTTGAACTCGTGAACGGGCGCAACTTGGGGTGACTAGTCGGACTTGAATTTGTGTATGTATATTTCTATACCTTGGGCACCTTCATACTATGTAATTGCTTGATGTTCCCGCAGGAATGTGGGTGCTACTATTTCACCATGCCTATTTAGGTTAAAAGTTTGATTTCTTAATTCTTCATTATTATAATTAATTGCTTAAAGATATTTAAAAAAAATATGATTTAAAACAGTAACGGAGAATTTATTGCCAGCTCTTCTCGTCCGTTTTACTCCTTTCATTTGAAAACTGGTAAATGTTAAGAAGTTTTTTTTTTAATTTATTTATTAATTGACGGTTATAAGTGTAGAAGGTAGACTGAAAAGGTGGTAAGCTAACATAGAAAAAATATTTTTTATAGAATTTGATTTGATTATTCAATATAACCTTCGAGAGCGATACAACATGCCTCAAAATACAACCCTAAGTTTCGGCGATTACATTCACATACACAAAATTTCTGTCCAGCAACCATTCTCTTGAGGTCTGAGAACTAAAAAAAAGTTTCCAAAAAAAATCGGATTTATTACGATTGCACACCTTCAAACACTGCTCAGAATCATTCGCTGTTGTTATTGATCGATTGAGAACTCGCGCGGCACCCACTTTGAACAGAGCTTTTGCATTTCCAAATATTCATCTAGGATAGTCCAACACGTTCCTTTGATATCTTTAGTGTCTCAGCTATCTTGATCAAATCCACTTTTCGGTTTCAAAATTATTTCGTGGACCTCTTTCATGTTTTCGTCGGTAACAGCTTCTTCGGACGTCCACTGCGTGCATAGTCTTGGGTGCTCATTTCGCAATTTCTCAACAGTTCGTTTTCCTGGTGTCAAAACACTAATTTTTACTATCCATTTTTCTTAAACAAACAAAAGGATAAATTTTATTTTAATATGATATCTATCTATATAAAATGTAATCTAACTAATTATTCAGTCAGTTGGTATTTATAGTAGAATGTTTAAAATTGGATATATTTTATAAATTACCTTACTAAAAAGCAATATTTGCCTAAATTGTTTACGTCAATCACAAACTCTACTGGCTTAATATCTTTAGGACGCTAATAGGCAGTGAACACATTTTACGTTGACACCCGAATTAAATTATGTGCGCACTGTGTGACACACGTTTTGATTTTGGAGGGATAAATAACAATGATACACGTAATTAAAAGATGCCAAAACTTTTGAAAATAAGTGCGGTACATTTTTTTGTTAGTATATCTTGTACCTTATTACGTTCTATCTTATTAATAATGTGAAATTAAGTATATCCTGACTTCACAATAATTGTAGTATTAATATTTTAAGGTGATATAAATAAGGTACTAAAATAGTAAAATCAATTGACGTTGTATATTCAGTACGCACTGTTTTATGTTAGCTGATACTGCCACCAATGGACACTCACTTTGCCGGAAGGGTCACAAATGCTTTGTCGGTCTTTTAAGATTTGGTACGCTCTCTTTTTGAAGGACTTTAAGTTGAATAAGTTTGGAAATACTTTAGTGGGCAGGTGGTTCCACATAGTGATAGTGCGCGGCCAGCTGCCTTAAAACCGCTCAGTTGTGGTACGACGCACGTCGAAGTAATACGAGTACGTGTGGTGTAAATGAATTCCAGTAAACATTTCGTATTTTGATAAGGGAGCGTTCAAGTATTACGTAACGAATTTTGGGTGGGGGTCCTTTTGTAAATCGTTACGAGGCGGGGCGGGGATTGAATTACGCGTTATTTTTAATAATATTCTCGACTTTCCACCACATAATGGTAACTTTTAGGTATAAAGAGTCACTAGGTGGTCACGAAACGTTTTACTATACTGGGTTACAGTACTGTTCTTGGGTACAGAAAACGTTACGGCGCGTTAATTGGGGGGTCAATAATCTTCAAAAATGACGTGACGTAATATTTGAATGCCTAACCTAACTAGAAATATCAATATTACTTTTTATCAAAACTAAATCACGAAATAGACCCTTTTCCTTCTGAAATGATAGCCACATTACTATATGTTTTTACTTCGTAACCCGATTGAAAAGCGACTAATTGGAAACACCGCACCTTGCGCAATCAACTCACTGTAACCATAAAGTGAACAAAAACATTGTCAACCTATCGGAATTCAATAATTAAACGTCAGTGTTTTTGAGGCAAAGTATTTTCCTAACACAAAGTTAATTATTACCAAAATAGTTCTTAGGCCGTATCACACAGTATCTGTGTGTTAGACTTATAAAGCACCATGCGTGTACACGAATTGAAAACGTTTCTATGTGCGCTAGGTAGTATGTAGATGCTCCCTTTTCGACGGGCGGGACATCGAATTGCTGCCTCCACAATGCTCTATCTAGTCTAAGGTTTTAGGGATTGTGGTTATTGTCAGATTGCCAGACCTATGGGTAGGTGATCGTCCCCTTCTCCTACTATCACAGTCTATCTGGTTCTCTCCAGCCAAAGAAGAAGCCGTACCCGTTTGTAAATGATAGCTGACCGTCTTGTGGGTGGATTTTTATTTTCATTTCAACAGAATACGTCGACGTAATACGAAAACAAATCTTGGTAAATTGCTTTAAAATAAATCTTCTAAGATTAGATGCAGATAGAAACGTCCATGTACAGCTTAAGCACTTGGCCTCCACCATGCTCCTCAAAGCAGAGGCAGAGTCCAGCCGAACGGGACTCGAACCTGATATCCCGATCATTGCAGTCCCCAAATAAACCCAACGCCACGAGGCCCTCATTCATTGAACTGCTGCAACATATTTTTTCCAAAATATTTAAAGAAATAAAGATTCAGTGTGCAGAAACCCGGGCAGGCCACTCGGTCAAATATAAATGTCAAACTTTTACTTCGTGCAAAAAAAATCTAAAACAAGTCCTATTTATAGACTTTTAAAGGCTCACTGAAGGCTCGAACTTTAATTAGAAAAATCGATAAATAACTTACAAATCGGTATGGAATCTGATGGATAGGAAACTTACTAACGGAATGTGGAAACGAATGAAGGTTTTAGTAGGCAGAAAAGAACAATGAAAGCTTTTACAGAGTTTAATTCATGATACGAAGCCTGGAAGAAAATGCTTGAAATTGATAAGACCGCCCGTTGTCCTCGTAATTTAAGTGGTCATTTAATTACCCAATCCAACGACGTGTTTGAGAAATAAATAAAACTTAAAAATAATTCATTATATGCGCTGAATTCGTTTAAAAAACTATCATTTTTATCGTTAAATCTCTGTTTTTATTTGTTTACATTTATTCCATTAAATTTGGTAAATAATGACCGAACATAAAAAATCTGAATAAAATGTACAAAATTGTATGAGCAACAATTTAAGTCCAGTTAAAGTGTAGAAATTGGCCTAGTTATAGACATAAAAATGTTTTAAAATCAAATAGACAAACACACCATACGAATTAAGGCGCCATTTTGGATTTAAACGGCGGTGCGATAAAATTTCTGGTTGGAATGAATTCAAGGTTAAATTCTAACATACTACTGGTCTAAGACAATTTTAAAGACCTCGATTTAAAAAATATACATTAATGATTTAAATTAGCTTGTATCATTATTATTACTTACTTGAAGTTAATACCAAATGTAGTGTATTGATTAGTAGTGATATGATAATAGTGATTCATAGTCCAACAACGTAGGGGATTTGACACTTTGCGCTAAGTCTCCAATCGTGTTTCTTAATGTTTTCCTAAGCTGTCTATGCCTTCAAATGATACTGGTTTTCCAGGAATTCAAACTTCGGTAAAACCATCTACCGTTATTTGGGAGTATTTTCAATTAATTAATTATATTTCAACACATTGTAGCTGTATATTTACAATGTGTAAATAAGAGGTTTCAGAATCTAATTATTTTTGAGGGCGCTTCAGAATAACCAATTTAAAAATAACATTTTTATATTTAAATTGGATTTATGAATTGAATTAGCATTGTTTTTTGGAATTTATAACAAATCCATTGAATCAAACTTGGTATATTTCGATTTTTTCGGATCAAATAAAAAAAACATCGCACTATCGGGTACTTTATCCGGATTATGCCGTCAAAAGGCAAAAAAGGCCAGCTACGCACTTGCGAACCTTCGGGCAGAAAAAAAAGCGAATATCTATTTTTAAATTTGAAACTATTAATAGTTTATAAAACTTAAGTTTAGTTACTAAAGAGTGTTAGTCTAGGCTTCAGCGTGCGGCACTCATTCTTGTAGTCGTAAGTTCGAACCCCGGTTGTGCACCAATGAAGGAAACCGTCATCACCCAAAAAGCCTTATCTCGCCTATTAGAATAAAGAAATGATCTGTATCTGTAATTCTATAAATGAGATGGCCAAGGATTGTAGCGGTTGTAAAGTTTTATAGTTTTTTATTAATATGTTAAATCTATAATTTGTACCAGATTTGTCTCTTAATAAAATAAAAATATTTTATTAAATTTATTTGGTTGAATTTTAAACTATACAACTGTTGCATGTTTACGTCCGAATCTAAACCCTAAGATCGTACATTTGAGTCCTTGCTATGACTGAGTTCATTGGTCTATTAAGCGCAGTTAATTCGTGCGCTTTAAGTTACAAGCTATATAAACTATAAGGAAAATATTGTAAACTGTTAGAATGGAATGTCTTAGAGTAAGACACTAATTCGAGACTTAGCGTTAGCTATGTCTCCCGTGTTAAAACGTATTTGATTTTTTTATGGAACATGGGGCTAACGGGCAGGAGGCTCACATGATGTTAAGTGATACCGTCGCCCATGGACACTATCAATGCCAGAGAGATCACGAGTGCGTTGCCGGCCTTTTAAGAATCGGTATTTTCTTGAATGACCCTAGGTCGATTTGGTTCGGAAACAGTGGCGGATTTACCAGCAGGCTGAGAAAGCTGGAGCCTAGGGCGGCATTTGGGAACCGAATTTTTTTTTTGCTACTTCATAGAAATCAAAAAGATTTCTGCATGACGGTTTTTTTTATTTTTATGATAGAACTGTTGTCTGCAATAAAATTTGCCGATGACGAGTAGCAAACTTCCATATTCTAGAGTAAAACTGATAGTTCACCCCCCCAACCAGTAATCGACGTCTGCCCGCACTTTCTATGAGTGAAAAGAGCAAAATTGCAGAAAATGTATTTCCCTCTTCTCTCTTCCCCCTATCAACCATACATGTCAGTCCTACTACTGGTTGGAGGCTGCGAACTGGATGGTTTGTCTTAATTTTGTGCTCAAAAATCAAACTCAAAATTATGCTACGTGCAATTTCTACGAAATCGTTGGATTGTAGAGGCAAGGGCTAACTTCACAGCCTATACCTTGAAAATTAGTAAATACGCCACTGTTCGGACATAATTCAGAAGGCAGCTGGTTCCACATAGTGGTGGTGCGCAGCAAAAAACTGCCTAAAAACGCTCAGCTCAGTCAGCTCAGTCGGCCCACGACGGACGTTGAGGTGATACGGAATTCGTATTCTGGAAGTCATGCTTAGCGCTCATACTCCCTACATCTTAGAGTTAATAAAAACACAAACAAATGTCCGAGATTGCATTAAGATTATATATTAATAAATTTATATTTTTAATATAACCGACTCCAAAATGTACAGCAAAGTACCAAAAGTTTTTTGACGTCGGGTTAAATTCGTAACAACCGAGAAATTATCAACAAATTCCGTTTAACTTTTACGATTTTAATACAATATTAGAGAATTAAAACGTACCAAGACAAAATCCATTTATTGCTTGCTTAGTAAGTAACACGACTAATTTGTTGCACAGTTAATTTAAATCTGTTTCTATTGTTGCTGTACGTGATTTTTATAGAACTCGGCAGTTATTGACGGATAATTATAATAATTAAAAACAAGGCTATTTTACTAAAAAATTCTATGGAATTTCGTAGTTTAGTTGAATACCTTAAGCAATAGGTTTATAAAAAAATCTCATACTATTTAATTGATTACCATAAATAATCGTAGTTAAGAGGACGGGATTGATTATAAAATATTGGCCACAGATTAAAACAATTCCTGAATTGAAATTCCGAAATTAATTTCGAATTTAATATGAATGACGAAATTATGATGTGGCGTATTTCTCACTCCTGTTTATTTGTACAATGTTGCTCAATATTAATAATTTGATATATTCCCAATACAAACTATTAAATACAACAGTTTTAATCAATAAGATTGAATGAAATTCCATTTCTTTCCCATTCCATTTTTTTATGTAATAGGAGGCAAACGGACAGGAGGCTCATCTGATGTCAAGTGATACCGCCGCCCATGGACACTCACATTGCCAGAAGGCTCGCAAAAAAGCATGAAAAAGCTACTAAATCTAATCCTTTAACATAAAAGCCAACTCCTAAAAAGCCTGCAACGCACTCCCGACCCTTCTGGCAGTCCTATTGTGCCGCGCATTAACATGGTATCACTTAACATCAGGTGATTCTTCGGAACTTTTTTCTTCAGATTTAAAAAGGGTAAAACTACTCATTTACTTTTATGAGTAAAGGGCAGACAGAACAATATTTAATTATTATTTTGAGTCTTATAGTTTATAAAATTAAGAAACACATATTGCACTTAAACAAGTACGTGATTTAATTATTGTTGCTGAAACCAGGTAGGTAGCTGATGTAAAACGCAACGTGATTAGCAATATACATTGTATAGAACTCGGCTATTGACTGCATATTCATTCGTACTTTGCTTTGAAAATAACGAGTCCATACTACGGTATGGTCAGAATACGTTCTGAACTAAATTGTCAGTTAGACGAATTATCAACCGCGAGAGTCTTTAGTGATATTTCCCATTACATTTTAACTTAAGTGATGCCAGAATGCAATTTATACATATTTTACTTTGTAAATAAACAATAACACAAGTTTTACAATTATCAACGTTAAGAGTTTAATTGACATAGTAGCAGTTTCATATTTGAAAAATACTTTGATATCGCAACAAAATTAGGTGAAAATGCGCGCCGTATGACGGGTCCTTAATTAATGCTGGGGAAACCGCCGGGAAAAGCATGTGTATATGTATAGTCGTTATAACACAGGGTTGAAGTTTCTAAGTATAGAAAAAAAAAGAGTGGCGCCCAACCCTTGGTTTTTTTATAATTTAATTTATATGTAGGGTTTCTAAGCGTATATTGTTTACGATATTTCTTTCCCCGTAACATGTGAGCAATTATTAATTGCGCAGGTCAAAATCTCTTTGAAGGATTGTAAGAGCGCCTGCCTAACTAGGCTTTACTGCTCTGATTAAAATCTGTCAAAATTATGAAATAATTTACGGTCTAATAAATGTGTATATGTTGTCCATAGGTAGGTGTTTTTGTAGGTGACCCAAATACGGCCTACCTTAATTTTTAGATTATCTTACTAGCGGGTTTATAACTGCACTGGTAATATGAAATACTTTTATTAAACTTTGTAATAAATTAAACAAAAAAACTTTAGAGGTGTCAAGGGACACCCGGATGGAACGAAATTCCTTTCGATTAATTTATATGTTAATTGGTATCATACCAGTATGATAGATTTTCTCGACACCAATCTTACGACGAAAAAAAAAGCCAACATCACGAGGTGTTCCCAGGTGGTCACCCATCCAAGTACTGACCTCGCCCGACGTTGCTTAACTTCGGTGATCGGACGAGAACCGGTGTATTACAATAGCAAATAGCAAAAAAGTGTCGTGACAACTTTTCGTAAGAATTTTTTCCGTCTAGCCCCCTTTCACAACGCGCGATAAGGAACTTCGTTCCAATTGCTTTAGAAACAAAAATCACACTTCTGTTAACACAAATAACTAAAAGGTCACTTTGGCCGTATTGGGAACCCTGTGTCTGCGAACCTATTAATGCCTTAGTCATAGTCTTAGTAGTCTATGAGAGCATAAACATATAAGTTATCATATGATTCATATGATGTTTAAACTATAGTAGGCGTTAACCACACGTCTCCATATAAAATTTTATCAAAAAAAATTAAAAAATACAAACATAAAATGTTGACTCCCTTTGTTATAAAAATATAAAACAAAAGAAAAGTTTGAAGTTTTTCTTGCAAAATGTAGCAATTACCTATTATTATGAAGGATAATTATAGAGTATCATTAATTTTGTATTTCTTATTATTTAATATTTCTTAAATTACGTATAAAAACTTCTCGGTAAACAGGCCTTCACAGGCCAAGAAGGTTTGTAAATTAATTTCCATTTCCGTAGGGTTAAAAGAAAATTTATGATTATTTTATATAACCATTATTAAAACAAGTGTCTTTATAAAACGCGCTTGATAAATGACAGTTATACCAACTGCTAAAAATTCCGGTACCATAGAATATTTCTACTCACATATTGAACGTTTCACGCTATTACTAATCTGTGGTTTGACCTACGAATGGCGCCAAACGCACAAAGCGAGAGCGACCACAGATACGTAAAATGCCTATTAAAATGGCGCGCCCTCTAGCAAGAAATAATAATGAGACGCTGGCGATACTAACTAGTAATTGACCTTTTTACACGAATAAATATAAAATAAATAATAAATATAAATAACGAAACAGTAATAAAACAACGGGTAAAGGTTAATCGATGCGTTCGAACTGTCAAAAACT